CCCCCCAAACAAAAAACCCATCAACTTTGTATACCTCCCATTCCCCTTCAACAGCCTCCAACTTTTGCAAGGCAATCCTATACATTGCCGTGAGCATAGCCAAGATATTGTTTCAGTTCTACTCCTTCTTCCACGTGACCACTCTGGTGGGAGTACTCATTTTGCTCAGGTGTGTGCCTTTGACAACCAAAGATCTTGTGGGTGGTTGGCGGATTCTCTGGTGTGGTTTTTCTCCTTCTTTCCAATCAAACACCTGTTGTCCTTATCTCTCTTCCTTTCTTGTGTTTGTTACTCTCTTGTAACACCTCTCACCTTCGACACTTAGAATCTATATGACCTGATTGTGTTGTAAGTGGCGTAAAATACTTACTTAAACAAAGATCAAACACCTGTTGTCCTTATCTCTCTTCCTTTCTTGTGTTTGTTACTCTCTTGTAACACCTCTCACCTTCGGCACTTAGAATCTATATGACCTGATTGTGTTGCAAGTGGCGTAAAACACTTACTTAAACAAAGATCTTGTCAGTTTGCAATTAATTTTTGAACACTTTATCGGCTGCTTGCACTGTATGCTTCCCGGGAAACTAGAATGCTGTTGAGTGCTCTAGGGTCTTGTTGGGGTAATACTATTGTACAGTGCATAGATCTCGCGGTTCAGTGGGATGTGCGCTTTGAAAGTGCTAATGCTTTATTGCTACGACTATTACTATTACTATAGACACATTTTGATATTTGCCATCTTTTAAGTTATTCTTTCCACCCCCGCCTTCCAAAAATCAACAACAACAACAGACGTAATAAACACAACAACAAAAACAACAACACCAACAATAACGACAACTAGAACAACATTAACAACAACAACAACAACAACAACAACAACAATAACAATAACAACAACAACAACAACAACAACGCCCTTTTCCCCTAAAATTATAAAAACAAAGAAAAAAACGAAAAAACAACAACAAAACAACAACAACCGAGTGCTACTGCAGAGAGACGTGTTTTTCACCGACTTCAATCTGGACAAAACAATCATTAATTTTATTGTCTTCCTTCTTCATTAATTATTCGATCTTTATGCTTTGCTTTCAGTATGGCATTCTTGTGTAAAGTCCTTTTCGAATTTTATTCTGTTTCACCCTAAGTGACTGAGACTTTGCATTTATTGGGTTTCAGTGGATTCGGAGGACTCATCTTTCGACTGATTGAGTCCCCTCCAGAGGATATTGTTATACAACAAATCATACACAGAAGAAACCAGGTATTGCTCAACTTACCGGTACCATGAACAATTAACATCCATTTCCCCCTCAAAATGAAAATATCAGCTAGAAGTAAAAGACCTAGACTTTTGATCTCTAACAAAGAAAGATACAGAAGGCCATTCTTACATCAAACTTCTTCCCAATCTTAATCATCTTGTTAAACGTGTTCATATGACCTTAAAGCATGCATAAGAATACCATTGGGTTACAATTAGAATACTGAGTATATATCCAGCTTAACAGTATTATTGTTTATATTACTGTTCATTTATATTATGCATGTGATCGTAAGCCTGTTTGTGATTGCAAGCACACTGCTTGTGTGTGCATGTTTGTGTGTGTGTGTGTGTGTATGTGTGTGTGCGTGCGTGCGTGCGTGTGTGTGTGTGTGTGAGTACATGGTGTAACGCAAAACTAATGTGCCAGGATCTGGACAATAAAAATGTATTTGCCTTATCTTATTTTATCTTCTCTTATAACTGTTTTGTTTTCAGAGTCCAGCCACGTCCTAGTCAAAAAGTCTCAGATTGATATAATATCAGTGCTCTGCTTTGATTGGTTATTTCTATATTCTGATCCTAGGATAGATGAATTAATAATAATTATCATGAAAGAGGAGTGTCGAATTGTAAATATAATAACATTATGTCTGTTGCCGACTTGCCTGAAACGTGTAAAAACCAGCGATGTTGTAAACTTTGCAATTGTTTCGATTTTCCCAAATATAAAAGTTTTGTTTCATCACAGAGAAGAAAGAAATAATGTTATGTACATAGTTGTAGAAAGATCACCCAAGAGGACAGCGAAGTAGAGGGTACGGATTTAGAAGGGTAGAGAGAGTGGTAAGGATAAGAAAAAGAAGATGAGGAAAATTAGAAAGGGGATGACAAGGGAGTAGGAAAAAAAGATGATGATGATGATGATGATGATGATGATGATGATGATGATGATGGGGACGAGGAGAAGGAGGAGGAGGAGGAGGAGGAGGAGGAG